CAAACCCAGCACAACAGCTAGAAAAGCTAGTAAAGTTAGTTAAGCTAATAGGCTCAGTAGCTTCTGCAGCAAGAACACAAGCATGTAGTCCGCCATTGTTGTTGCTGTTACATGACGTAGCAGTGTCTGAAATTTTAACTTGCTAATTTTTATCGGCAATTTTTATCGGCGTAAATAAGATGAAAGACTTCAAACAAACTAAAGATATTTTCAGTTGAGACAGCTCAAACATGCATTTTAGAATGGGACTAGCCTTAAGCCTTGTCTGTGAAACCGGGGGTAGATTAATTAATTGTTTTTATCAATTTAATTAAAAAAAATGTATTTTAATGTAATTTTTTAATTAATTAATTTAAACTTTAAATTAAATAATATATTCAATAAATTAAAGTTTTATTCCAAATGCCACTTGGATTGATAGCTAAGGGCTCATCCATACAAAGCCAGAGCTTTTCCTATCCAATCTTTTTTCCTCGTTCTTCCGTAAACACAGCGTCGTCTCAAGAAATATCTGCATACACACGAAACCACTGAAACCAACTCAAAACGATGTAGTATACATGCCAGACCAGTATGTGGCCCTGTAATTCTGCCACAGAGATACACTAAAATTGGAGAAGAAGACTTGGAGCATGCGCATAAACCTTGTGCGCTGTATACAAACCCAGCACAACAGCTAGAAAAGCTAGTAAAGTTAGTTAAGCTAATAGGCTCAGTAGCTTCTGCAGCAAGAACACAAGCATGTAGTCCGCCATTGTTGTTGCTGTTACGTGACGTAGCAGTGTCTGAAATTTTAACTTGCTAATTTTTATCGGAGTAAATAAGATGAAAGACTTCAAACAAACTAAATCAACAAGTCATTTTTGGCAGATATTTAAGATTAAAATGAAATGAAGGCATCAATATGATTCACATTCCAGCTTTGCATTAGAAAAGCTAGTAAAGTTAGTTAAGCTAATAGGCTCAGTAGCTTCTGCAGCAAGAACACAAGCATGTAGTCCGCCATTGTTGTTGCTGTTACGTGACGTAGCAGTGTCTGAAATTTTAACTTGCTAATTTTTATCGGAGTAAATAAGATGAAAGACTTCAAACAAACTAAATCAACAAGTCATTTTTGGCAGATATTTAAGATTAAAATGAAATGAAGGCATCAATATGATTCACATTCCAGCTTTGCATAAACACACGGCTATAGAGAGGCACACAAGTACACACACACACACCTCCAGAAAAGCACACAGCAGGTCAGACATGTGCGCAAATGTTTGTAGGTAAGAAATGTCCATTCACAGGAAATATTGACTACAAACGGTTCAACAAAATTAACAATTGGTAAAACTCTCCAGTAATAGGAGCACAGTACATCCACCTCTTTATTAAAGTACCTATTTGAAAATCTATAAAACTAAATCAATTTGATCTTAAATATACATAAATGCTGAATTGGACTTGAAAATCTGAACTCAAATATTTGAAATGACCAAAATATTTCCTTGAATGTACACGGAAAAGCTGCTAAAATGCTGTCCGTCTACTGAAAATAAATAAAAAAGTAAATCGAAAATAAATTACAGTACTGAACTCGACCCTTTCTTTAATTTAGTTCCTTTAGAAGGTCATTTATACTGCATTTGCAGCAACTGCGTCCTTGAAATCAACATGACCACACCCACATTCAACAAACCACACCCACATACCTCAGCCAGCAGGAGACATGGGGTGATGACATCATCGTTTCACAAAATATACGGATTGGCTTTACGCATGAAAACGCAGAGCGTGTCGTTTTCAGATTTATCCACTCTGGGACCTGGTTTCAAAAAAATAGCGGTTTTAGGCTCCCAAAATGCCAGATCCATCTGGACGACATGGCGATACGATACAACATTTTTACGTATATAGCTAAATGCGTCTCCGTATGTACGGGGCCCAAATATGTTCATATTGTTAACTAAAAATTTAACTATTAAAAATCACTTTTGGAAAGTGAAATAAAGCTGAAATAAATATAAACATTTTTTAAAATTTTAATCCAAGATACACAGGAAACAAATTTGTTGAAGTACTAAAATTACTAAAACTAAAGTAAACTAAAATTAAGAAATAAAGTATATATATATATATATATATATATATACACACACAATACTACAAAATAACACTGCAAATGATAAAATAGTAAGCAACCAGGGCAGAAATGGAGGCACATAAACATTTCATTTTGCCCTGACCAAATTACTTGTTTTGGCTAGAGTATTTCAACCCATGCTGGCGATGAATTCATCTTGGTGAGAGGCTTGTCAGAGAGAGGCATGTTTGCGGGTACCACCTCCAGCTGTAGAGAGAGCCGTGTGGTCCAGAGGGCAGCAGGATGCTGGCGGCCACCGTACCGGGGGTATTATCATCCGAAAAACAGCAGTGAGGAGCATCCTGAGGCAGGCTATCCAAGATATCCTAGGAACAATATATATATATAAAAAAAAAACAGTTATAGATACTGCACTTCCATATGTCGCAATTTAATGTTTCAGTGAACCAAACATTTTTTTGACACTTAATTATGTTATTGACATAGCATAAAAAAGCTCAAACAAAACCAAAACAACCTCAAAAACAACTCAAAACAAACAAACCAATCCAAAATAAAACAAACCAATTCAAAACAAAATAAAACAATCCAAAATGAAACAAAAACAATTCAAAATAAAACAATTCAAAACAAAATCAACCCAACACAAACAAATCAATCCAATCCAAAAACAAAACAAAACAATCCAAAACAAAAAGCAAAAACAATTAAAAACAAAAATAATTAACAAAATCCAAAACCAACCAAACGAAAAACAAAATCCAATCCAATCTAAAACAAAAACAAAACTAAAAAACAATTCCAAACTAAAAAAACGAAACAAAACCAACCCAAAACAAACAAATCAATTAAATCCAAGCCAATCCAAAATAAATCAAACCAATCCAATCAAATACAAACAAAACAGTCCAAAATTAAACAAAAATCAATCCAAAACAAAACTCCAAACCTAAATCAATCAATCACCAAAACACTGGCTGATTAAAAGTCAGGATTTCCAAGTAACTACTGGAAATGTGTAAAATGGCATTTGAAGACAGATTTCTAATGCATTAAAGTGCCCCTATTATGGATTTTTTTTTTTTAAATGACCTTTCATGCAGTGTGTAACACAGTTCTAAGTGCGTGAAAACATCCTGCAAAGTTTTAAATCTGAAAGTGCACCGTGCATAAACTGCGCGGAACAAGTGGGCGGGCAATATGCTAATGTTTCATGTTGATGTCAACATGAAACATTAGCATATTGCCCGCCCACTTGTTCCGCGCAGACCTGGGAAAACTTGATTTTCCCGTTCGTCTGAATGAAAATGCAAATTCCTTCTTTGCCACTAGGTGCTGCTTTTGGGGCAGTAAAAATAGCGGTTTTCCCAGTAACGCTGTACACAAAGCAGCACTGCGCTCACAACGCTGCTTTATCAGGCATTACAGGCATGATGAAATGAAAATGAAATCGACCAATCGGACCAATCACCACAGATTAGCGTCACGCAAAGGAGGGGTTTGGAAAAATGAATCGTTGAGCGAATCGTTTGGGAGTCGTTGAGCAAGTAAGGTAAAAATAAATGCATATTATAAGGCAATGAAAGTGTTTTTTGACCTTGCATGCATTAACCTGTTGTTGGGGATTCCCAAAACCAAAATATGAACCTTTCATTACCCATAATAGGGGCACTTTAAATTTGATTTTGTTTTGATTTTGATTGTTTCAGATGTATGACTTCACATGAACATGGCAGCATCCAGTGTTCTAGCATTTTATTTGCTTTAAAGTGGTGTTAAAGTGGGGGGGGTATGGACTCTAGCCTCATTTGTTTGCTTGAAACTAAAGCTATTTAAAAAAAAACATTTTGGTAAAAAAAAAACATAAACATAAGATGAAAAACAAACCTAAATGAAAATTAGAACTGTTGCCTCGGCAAACTAACTGAAGTAAGTTTAAAGGGTTAGTTCACCCAAAAATGAAAATTATAATAATCACTTGAATCTAGCTTGCGCTCACTGTTGTAAACAGAAGCAGTTCCGGGGGAATGACGTATGAGGTCGGCTTTGCGCATGCGCCGCTCAGAAGTGACGCACGCGGAAACGCAGGGGAGAGATCAAAACAAAACAATGGTTAAGAATTAGAAGTATAACGAGGATTTGTAAAGAAGAATGTCAGAGGAATTTTATTTAAGTTCTTTTGGACTGAAGCAATGCAACACCCGCTGAGTGGCATTAAACAGCTTGAAAGATCAAAGACAATTTTTAATATAACTCCGACTGGATTCGTCTGAAAGAAGAAAGTCATATACACCTAGGATGCCTCTGGGGTGAGTAAAACGCAGCCTAATTTTCATTTTTGGGTGAACTAACCCTTTAAGTACAAAAATTACTAACAAAACATTAAAATAAAAATAAATTAAAGCTAAATAGAAATATGAAAACTAAAACGAATAATACACTAAAAAACACACAACAAAATAACTAAAACAAACTATATTTAATTAAAACTAAACATGTATAAATAAAAGCTAATCCAAATGATTATTTAATACTACAACTGCATAAACAATACTAAAATAACACTGCTAATGAGATACTCAGAGATTTTTAAGTGTGACTTAAGTGTCCAAATACTTTTATGGAATATTCACATTCACATAAAACTGTGAAACATTCTACACAAGTACATGACTGTGAATAGCAGGCCTAGTTTTAAGGCAACTATTGCGCCCTCTTGAGTACTGGAGTAAAGTCAACGCTACAGTAAGTAGTAAGCATACTTGAATAGAATATAGTTTTAGTTCACAAAAAAGCAAGAGATCAAACTTCTAAAAACCTTTGAAAAAAGTTTCAGCTTCAAAGTTTAGTCTTTAGAGTTTAAAACAGAGATATCACCAGCACAAACTTTCCAAACCGGCCTCCAAAGAGCGTTTGAAGAATGCTTGTGGCCGCTGTCTTCAGAGCGCAGATGGTGGAGAGTGAGATGGCCACTTGTTTGCATTCCCCGTCGACGCCTGCGTCGCTCGAAGAAAGAAAATCAATCAGTGTGACAGACTCATCCACCTCTCAAACCCTCCAGCACACGCTCACCTGTCACATCATTTATCCAACACAACTGACAGGGCTGGACACACACACACACACACATACACTTACACACCTGATACCGCACTCGCCCCGTTTGGTCTCTTCTCTGGAGTTTCATCCTTTTAGTGCCTCTCTCTTCAAACCATTTATCAGCACTTTATGCGTTTTTGAAGAAGAAAAAGGGAATATTTGAATCAGGCTGCATTTGAAACTCGAGCAAGCCTGAAAGGAAGACAGAAAACAGAAATGTGCCTCAACAATGAGGCTGCTAAATGAACACAGACACACACACACACAGTTGTTTAAACATAAATTTAAACACAAAGACACATTCTCTCTATATTCAATAGCCTGTTTAAATATGTATTCAGGCTCCTCTGCTGCCTCTCTCATGTTTTATTGAGAGATTCAGGCCATGTGGGGGTTTGGAAGGAAACCCTCCAATTTAGGATTAAGTTTAAAGCTGTAAACCCATCTTCATCCCTTCATCATGACTTCAGGCTCAGAGCTGCCGCATTCATAACCTCACAACATATTCATAAAGCCAGTTTGGCAGCTGTCATAGACCATCAAAGAGATAAGCATTAGCATGGGAGGATCACATAAAAGTTCTGTAATAATATTTACTTTTAAAGGGAATAAACGCAAATTTATGACAGTATGTTAAAACTAATAATAATAATAAAAAATATATAATTTACTCATTTACCCACATGTTGGTGCAAACCTGTCTTTCTTTCTTCCATGCAGTTTTTGGGGAAGTTAAGTTTGAAACTTCAGCTTGATACTCAATTAAGCTACTCAGTTTAAAAAATTTAAACTTTACACTAATTTAGCCCAGTACCATTATTATAGCTAAAACGATCAAACTTTGTTTTGTTAATTGAAACAACTAACTTGACAACTAACTTAAACACAGTAAGTACTAAATATAATAAAACTGAAAAAAGTAAGTAAATGGAAATGTTAATAAAAAACAAAACAAATAAAATGACAAATAACACTACTAAAACTTATTTTGAAAGCATAGCTATACTAAATGTTTCTACATTTTTAACTGGCTCATTTAAATGAATGAATCAATTCACTAGAATGCTAAAATGTAATTTGCAGTTGGCTATAAAGCTAGTACTATATAGTACAATATACAATACAAAATAATGAACAAATATTATACATATATACTGTTGACACAAGATGAAGCTGCTTAAAATGGATGTCGGTACTAACCAGGACTGTATCTAAAAAACATCACATCTGCATCTCAACTGTCCTGTTACCACCAAAACTGTTCGTAGAGAGCTCCAAAGGGTCAATATGCATAAAGCATGGTCAAGCTGCTATAGCCAAACCTTCAGTCACTCGTGCAAATGCCAAACTTTGGTTTCAATGGCGCCAGCATCAAAAATCTTGGGCTTTGTTGTCTTATAAGTCCAACGGTCTTTCCCACATCCAGGAGAGTTACGGTGTAGAGAAGCCCCAAAAAGGCTTACCATCCAGACCCCTGCGTGCCCAGAGTGAAGCACAGAGGTGGATTAGTGATGGGTTGGGCTGCAGTATCATGGCATTTCCTACTGTGCTAGATGGACACGTCCCTGCCAAGAACTTCCGAACAATTCTGGAGGACTATGTGCCCCCAATGGTTCAAACATTGTACCCTGAAGGTGGTGCCGTGCATCAGGATGATAATGCACCAATACACACTGCAAGACTTTTTTGTCCATTTTTTTTAAGTTATGACAACTTCTAATGAAATTATGTTCAACCAGCAAACTACAGTGAGTTAGAAGAACTTATTAATTTGTAACAAACACATATTTTTAAGTTGATGACTCGAAACATTTAGTTGCTCCAACTGATTTGTGGTTCTGGAACTAAATTATATATTATCTTTTTTTTTTTGTTAAAATCCAAATCCACAGTTATCATAGCATATGCTAAATTAAACTTATTTAGCATGTATAATTAATGAATAAGTATATTTTATTTGTCACTGGCATTAGTAGAGTCAATGTAGTGTTTACCTTAATGTGCTCCACTCTTAAGCACAATGATAACCACCAAAACTTTAACATAACAAAAACTCATTTAAATGTCAAACATAACAGCATTAAACACTAACAGGCCTTCACTAAAAAACACATAAAATAACATTTAATTTCAACATTTAATCTCCTTATCCAGTCCTATGCAAAGCATGCTGGGAACTAGAAATCCACTACCCAATTTTCAAATTTAACAAGACAACGTAATTTTTAAAGAAATTCAATTAATGCAGAAATTGGAGTTTAAATTACACACAATATAAAGTTAATGTAATGATCAACATTGTTGTGTCAAATGAACTCAAAATGTTTGCAATTAAATTAGAATTTTTAACTTTTAACATTTTTTAGAGTGGTACATTTACATACGTAGTTAAGGTTGTTACTACCCAAAACCTAATTAAAAAGACATTCCTCTGAAGCCATTTCACAGTTTTGTGTGAGGAACAAGTCAATATTTAAAATTCCTTTCCTATGCCATACAGCTCTCAAATCTCTCAAATATTGTGCATCAAAACTCAGCGCCCCAAGTTTGACTTCAGTGACAATGGAAACCCAATGATATTTCACTGATGTTAAACCTGGTGCAACATGTCTCCATTTACATATGATAATGCAAATTATACCACCATCTTCATTCTAACTTCTCATCTTCATTCCATCTTGGTCTGCTACCATGTTTGGCCCACATTCACTATTTTTTTTTTACTGCTCAGAAGTTATTATGTGCTAACTATCACGTCTTTGAAGGTGTGCACAACATATGCTGATTACAAACTCTGAGAATCATGTAGGAGGTATAGGCGTGAAATATCTCAATCCATCTGTGGGGAAAAAAAACAACAACCTGCTGAAACACATCTATATAATGCTTCATGAACAATCCTGGATCCATAAGAAACTGGCAGAAAGTTGTCAGTTTTACAGTGTATATTAATACACTAAATACATGAACCGCCTTTAACCTCTCACATGTCCTGACCCATCACTGAGCTCATGAATATGAAGCTGGGTTTGTGATATTTATTCAAGCTTAATGTTCATCTGATGTTTGTTACACGAGTTGTGCATTACATAACACCCTCCAAATGGCACAGCCTCAGAGACTTCTGGAGATATGAGATCTGCAGAGTTAAAGGGGCAAACATTACAACACTCACACAAGTCTCAAAGGTGACTGCTGCATTAAACGGGTGGGTGGAGGTATTCAGATCAATATGGAAGGCCATATCCACCTGCATTACTTGTGTAACCAGACTTTTGACCTTACACATTCACTACTGTAAGTTTAGGATCGGTAAGATTTTGAAATATTTTTAAAAGAAGTCTCACCAAGGCTGCACTTATTTAATCAAAAAAATTCAGAAATAAAATATTATTACCATTTGAGAATGCAATTTATTCGTGTGATGGCAAAGCTGAATCTTCAGCCGTCATTATTCTAGCCTTCAGAAATCATTCTAATATGATGATTTGGTGTGCAAGAAACATTTCTAATAATAAATGTTGAAAACCGTAATGCATTTTTTTCAGGATTCTTTGATGAATAGAAGTTCAAAAGAACAGCATTTATTTGAAATACTTTTTTTTTTAATAACAAATATTGGCCATGGACCGTCTGATGCAAATTGAGCGCAACAATGGCAAGAGCTGACTGAAATAGCCAGGTTCAAGGTATCAGGTTGATAAACCAAACATTCGACCAAGATCTAATGACTGTAATTGGCTGTTTGAAATGCTCAGTTACAAAAAAAGTAAACTCAGTATTTATGACCATAGATTCAGCAAATACTGCTGTATGGTCCGAGTAACTTCTGAAACATTATATATGTACTTATTGATATTAGATGATTAACAGAAAAGTCCATACATATTTGTACACATCATTTCCTTACTTTGGTGGGTGGGTGGGGGGTTTAATGACAATCTATTAATCAAAGATCTCATTTTACTTCTAAATAAAAAAGTGACGCTTTAAAAATCTCTCCCAAAGGGACCCCATTGTGTGGAAATGCTAATTCCCTTTCAGGTTCTAGGATTAAAAACGGGACTGTACTATTATATTGGGATATCTTCGTGTAATGCAAATATTGTCAGCTCTTATAATAAATTGCTTACACTGGATGCCTCATTTGTAGTTTGCGCTGCATAAAAGCATCATCTACTGTGAATGAATAAATGTCAATGGGATGCACTGAAACACCAGTTTGGAATAATTAAAATGTTTAGTGTTTTAGAAAGACAGCTCTTATGCTCACCAAGGCCGCATTTATTTGATCCAAAATAAATTACGGTTCAAAAAAACGATTGTGGAATATTATTACAATTTAAAATAACAGTTTTCTATTTGAATAGATTTTAAAATATAATTCATCCCTGTGATACAAAGCTGAATTTTCAGCATCATTACTCTAGTCTTCTTTGTCACATGATACTTCAGAAATCATTCTAATATGCTGATCTGCTGCTCAAGAAAAGTTGTGTTACTTAATATTTTTGTGGAAACTGTGATGCATTACCATTCAAAGGTTTGCGATTAAAAACTAAATTAATACTTTTATTCAGCAAGGATACAATAAATTGGAAAAAGTGACAGTAAAGACATTTATAATATTATTTTAAAAAGTACATTCTGTTCTTTTGAGCTTTCTATTCATCAAATAATCCTGTTTTCACAAAAATATTAAGCAGTAAAAATAGTTTTCAACATTGATAAGAACCATTATTAAATTCTAATAATATTTCCCAAATTAGTTTTTAATGCATTTTTGATCAAATAAATGCAGCCTTTGAACTTCCTTCAAAAAAAAACAAAGCAGGACACCCAGCGCTACCACTTCCTGAAAGTACGCAGATGTCAACCAATCAGATTGTAACTGCAGATTTCAGCCAGCTCTTGCCAAAAACCAGATCTCCACCTGCAAACTCCCGTATGTTCGCGAGCGAGAACACGGTCACATGGAACACGATGACTCCCGACTTCTTGACCTTCTGTTCAGGTTGTGTAAAAAACAGAGGACAGTATTCTGTTAATGGCACAGCGTCTTAATGTTCTGTTCCTTCAGACATGTACAGTGACTACTCAAAGCCAACAATCAAACCATTATCCCTCCATCTGCAGATAAGAGGCAAATAGAGCGAGACACACACAGGTGGAGAGAGAGAAAACGTGGGTTGAGCTGTCAGTCACTGATTAGCTACTGGATGGGAACCAGGAGGAAATAAGGATAGAGGGACGGAGAGAGAGAGAGAGAGAGAGAGAGAGAGAGAGAGAGAGAAGCATCAATGACCTTTCAGTGGCAGCTTTTACTCTTCCACAGAGAAAGAGAGAACTCACTCCATCCATTATTGAATTCCTGAATCAGCTTCCCTGAATAATGGCACTCCGGTTGAAAGGATCTAGAAGTATGTTCTCTTCCTCTGTCTCTCACTCTCTCTTTCTTATCCCCCCCGGCGCGCTTCGCTTCCATCGCTTTCAGCACGCCGGAGACTGAAAATGCCACGAGTGCCTCTGGCTATTCCTAATCACAGAAAATCACTCACCTCTGTCTTTGTCACAGTGACCCGAGCGCTGTCACGGGCTTTGGGTGGCAGCTCTTCCATGAGCCGCTGTGATCAATATTTCAGCCGCAGACCGAAGCCTTCTGCATGGGAGAGCCGTTCCTGCCTCCTGACGGATGGGAGCTCTGGGGGCCGTGGGAGAGGTAATATTTAGACAGATCACAATGGTCCACCTGCAAATAGGGTTGTGGATGAGAGCAAACCAAGCGGAAAGACAGAGAGATGGAGAGTGACAGGAAGTAGAAAGTAGGCTTGGGGGGAAAGTGGGCCTGGCATGGAAAATCAAGCAGCTGTGTTATACTGTTAATATGGTCACAAATAAAGGATCTACAACAGAGTGCCTTACTGTTATTATAAAACAGAATAAATTATGACATACTGAAGTTAAGACATACACATATGTGTGTGTGTGTGTGTTAAGACATACACATATGTGTGTGTGTGTGTATGAATGTATATATGTGACCCTGGACCAGAAAACCAGGCATAAGGGTCAGTTTTGCGAGATTGAGATGTATACATCATCTGAAAGCTGAATAAATAAGCTGTATGGTTTGTTAGGATAGGACAATATTTGGCCGAGATACAACTATTTGAAAATCTGGAATCTGGTGCAAAAAATAAAATATTGAGAAAATTGCCTTTAAAGTTGTCCAAATGAAGTCCTGCCAAACAAAGTATTTTCGCTTTCACAACGAAACAGCGTCACACACTTGCCTTGAGTGAGCAGAGGCAGGTGGGCTTGAGAACTGTGCGGCCGGCGGGCTTGCGGCAACCACATGTGACGACCCCGGGCTGGACTCTGCTTCGTCCACGGTGAAAGCCGATCCGGCGATCCACAGCACGAAGTGATTTATTATTAGAATTATCAACAGTTGTGCAGCCAAATATTTTTAAGTTACGCCTTCTTTCTTTGCGTGAACGTTTGGGCGGCGTTATGCAAATCTTCTCACATCGTGACGTAGACATGTGGGGTGTGTTAGAACGAGCCGTTTTAGGTAGGCGTGGCTGACTCTTAACTTTTATAAAGAATATCTCTTTGGATTTGAGACTTTAGTCTTTGCAACTTTACAGATCTTCTTTATGCACCAAGAGCTTGTAACACTCCAAAGAGAAAGGAAAAATTGAAATCGCATCATATGACCCCTTTAACTCAATTAAATTTCACATCCTATATTTAGCTCGATAAGTAGCCTTTTCACAGGGTACCGTAAAGTCACATGGTCATTATCACAAAGTAGACCTTAGATGAAAACAAGCTGAAAGGGATATACTTACAGTATTTACAGTGGCACGCACTGCAACTACAGTGTTTTTTCCTCCAGAAAGACATTTAATTAGCTTACCAATCGGCATGTTGTTAAACAAAAATACAATTCATTGAATGCACCGTACTCCAATCCCTCACAGCCTTGCTTTGAAATAAATATATTTCAGGTCCTTTTTTACAATTATTTACTTTTATTACCATTTACTTTTATTCATGCCATAGGATAGGTTATAAGTCAGCTCGTTAATATCATACACACACACAAAGTTCTGTTCTGGGCAAGAACTCCCTGCGCATCCATGCAGCCTAGCATGGATAAAAGCAGGGAGAGCAGTGGTAGGGTAACAGAACTGAACCAACATAAATGTATTGCAGAGATCATTAATGTTCAATAACTTAATGTACAGTGAGGATGACGCATTTACTTGCTGAAAAAATGGTTGTGGTTAATAATAAATGCAATTATTTATTGAACAAGTGTTTTTTTCTTTTATTCTTCCATTTTATAAAAGCAATAAGCCATTCAAGGCTGAGCACAAAGTGTTTTTACCACAGCTAAAGGGGTTAATGCCTAAAAATCACAGTTTATTGCATTATTCAGTGACTGTGTGTTTGGTTGCGTGCCGTTACCTTCGGTCCTCTCCAACACAGAGCCCCCTAAAGCAGAAAGCTGCTGACATGTAAAGGCCAAACATTTCACATAATTCAAAATGACTCATTTAAAAATCTTCCTTCGTCATTTCTCATGAGGACACCGTACCGCAGAGGCCCAAGACACTTTCCCTGTCAGTCCGTCAGAGGACTCTCTCTCAGTTCACTCTCTCCACGGACTTACTTGTCACCCAATATCGGAGTGTCTGTGAAATCACCTTTTGTCCTTCGGTCTCTTTCCCCCGAAAGTGTCCTGATGTTTGACAGGACGGCTAAAAATAAGCACCGAGCTGCACAATTAGCCGTTATAATGTCCCATAATTCCCTCCCGAAATTCGCAGCAGCAAGGAGTGCTCATCAACACCTTGGACGTAGCGGTCAAATTGAATAATAAATGTTTAATGCCGGTTCGGTCGCAGTCAGTCAACAGTCAACAGACCGTGGCTGTGGGCAGGGAGACAACGAGGTCATTAACCCTGCCATTTGCTTAACAAGTGCTAATTACAGCTGACATTTCCACAGGGCGCTTCCGAGCGTCAGCTGCCTGGACTCATCAAGAGGACACGGTCATTCTTCACACACACACACACACACACACACACACACACACACACACACACACACTAATGAAATTAAAACGGAGTACCAACAGTTTAATAGAATCCAAAAATTAAATACACAGCAGAAAACTCCCACGTTTCCTCTTTTTTTTAAGGCTAAAAGCAGCATGGACTACAAAAGCACTGATTAAGCAAGAAGAACCCAATGACTCGAGGATTTTGGCATTTTACGCAGAGAGGAAAACACAAAAGAGATCTGGTGTTAGGACGCGCCATGAAGCTGCTACAGAGACTCATTTGCATTGCAAACTGAACACAATCATGACGCTATGAGCCGCATAAACCACAGTACTGTTCTTTCACATCTACATTATCATAAAACTGCAAAAATTTACTCTCTCCACAAGTAGAATGACTAATACAGGGAGAAGCACCATTTCTATTTGCAGACCCAAGGCAAATATTTGATCCTAAAATTATAGAGTAGATTTTGAATAAATCAAAAAAGCAAGCAAGCATATCTTTCAAACACAGGCCCGATGGATGAAATGGATAAATGAAGGGAGGAATAATGCCAAGCGGGGAGCCCAAAGTGGAGAGAAGGAAGAAAGCAGGAAATCCCAGGACAAGTCACTGGAAGGAGACAAATAACTTAAGACGTAGAGGACATGTCTATAAATAGACATGGCGGCCATACCGGCAGGGCGCTCACTTTGTCTTTTCTTTCTTAAAAAAAAAAAGAAAAGCAATGGAAACAAACAAAGAAAAAAAAACATCAAGTCTACCAACCACAGCTGACTCGCTCAAAATCAAAAGGGCAGAACAAAGTAAAAAAACAAAATAACATGAATTCATGAATAACATGAGTAAGGTTCACAATATGGTAATACTCATTGTTCCATATGCAGATCAAAAACCTGTGGTTTAATGTGTATTTGCAAAAACAAGGTATGAATGCACATGTAGGCAATAGATGTAATACAATCAGATGTGTTTGAGGAATCCAGACTTTTAAAACATTCATGATGAACAATGCCCAGAAGAGTTCAAGTCAACATGAAACAGCATGTGCAACCAAGTGGAACGGAATATTCCAGAACAAAACGCAGGGTTGGACTTTAATATTTTATCCATTAGGAATTGATTGGATGATGGAAAGTGAGAGAGAATGAATGGATTGTAAAGGCCTGTTCTCCTGAAACACCATCAGATCCGACACTGCTGCAGAATCCCATCCTCCTTTCTCAAAGCCATTCTATTGGCCGAGACAGATTTATGGGTGCTCTAATAGAAATGATAGATGATTGCTTTTTAAGTGTACACTACCATTCAAAACCAATTTTGGAAGCAAATGAATACTTTTATGCAACGATGCGTTAAATTGATCAAAAGTGACAGTAAAAATCTATAATAAATAAATGTTGTTCTTTTAGACTTCAACACTGATAATCATAAGAACTGTTTCTTGAGCAGCAAATCAGCATATTAGAATGATTTCTGAAGGATCATGTGAGACTGAAGACTGGAGTAATGATGCTGAAAATTCAGCATAGCAACACAGAAATAAATGACATTTTAAAATATATTCAAATAGAAAACTGTTGTTTTAAATTTTTACAATATTTCACAATATCACCAAATAAAGAGCCTTGGTGAGCATAACAGACTTCTTTCAAAAACATAGAAAAGACTTCCCAAGCCCAAACTTTTGAACGGTAGTGTATTTATTCTTAATATTCTTAAATATCACATTATATTACTGAATTTAAAAATGGTTCAATTAAATATTTCCCTTTCAATTAGCCTTCGGTTAGGAAACAAACAGCTTGGCACAGCATTAACTGATTAAGGGAAGCTACACTTTTGACTTTTGCATTGAGGAAGGGGGATAGGTCTGCACAAAACCCACATTTTGAGAGCCGGACATGGAGACATGGATGTTCACCCTCAAGAGCATCTTACTGGTTAACATTATTCAATAGCCTAATTGACATCAGGAGAAAAGAGGCAGAAGATTTTTGTGTGCACCGACGAACCGCACACAATAAGACCAGCAATGTGTATTAATAAAGCAAATGGTGTCCATTTTGATTTCATGTTGACTTGAACAAGATACAATCAATTCAGACATTTACAACATTCAAAAGACTAAAAGCGGGAGCTAATCTGGAAGTTTACTCAATGCGTCTCATGAATAATTACTGCTCCATTTCCTCACCCGGGTCAGCCATCTCAACCCTCGACAATAAGTCACCCCTTCATTAGCGCACTTTAAAAAGGTGACGCGCAAACTAATTATCTCTGGAGTGAATATCAGCTCATTAATATATGCAAAGACAAAGCCATAACACAGAAAGAAAAAAAAAAACATTCCAGTTCACTTCAAAATAAGAGTGCAGCACCGCAAACGCTTCATCAAAAATAGATTGTAACAGCGAGACCGTATGACGCATGTGGTTTCAAATGTCACTGACGGATGAATAAGGACAGCGAGCTGACAAAATGTACATTATTCAAGCGTTTAACATCAGCAAACTCCACAGCGCTGAGCTTGAAGTTCAACGGCATCACTTTTAACCGATTCGGACACCTCCATCTAATCAATACACTCCACTTGCTTCAATAATTAAAGCAGAAAGACACTTATTTAATTTATTATTCAGATTATCCATGCTGGGTTTTGGTCCGAGTTATATGAAAATAATTAGAGATTTTAATGAAAACATTTGCTTTTGATAAGTCAGAGTCATTCATTTCGCATTACACGCCGATTTATAAAGATCACATCTAGTTCGGAAAGATTCAGAAAGTGAACAATTAATCACCAATCAAAACGTATCAGCCTGGAGTTAATAAATACACCGAAAGGTGAAACGAGGGTTCAAAGGGAAAAGGGAGATAATCAGATCATCTACATCTGATTAGCATAAACATCTGCATAATTTGGTTGCCCTGGGAGATCGAATGGATGTGCGAATGGTAGATGCCTTTTCACAGTGCTTTGAGATTCCATCTGCTGTTCTCCAGCAGTATTTAAGATTAGGATTTGTTTATGTACCGCCCATCCACGCTTCAGTACCACACAGTGAAAACCAAAACCCTTCAGTCTGCCTCCAAGTCAGTAGTTTCCTTTCAACACGACTCCAGTCCTGTGGTCTCATAGGCTGACCTCACATCACACCGATTCATTCTTTATAAAGCCATATTAATATTTCACCGCAGTTTGATTCGGCCGCCTGTGCTGAAACGTTACCTCAGTAGTAGTCAAATGCTAATACTAAAGCTCTAAAAGTACTAATTTTCTAAGAAATAATTGTGCTTCATACGCATACAAAGCCACTGTTTAAGGATTGTTAAAATTCACAGCCTTGTGATTCAAAAAACATAAAAACCCAAACACATTGCTCAGGCGGTTGCATATTGATTCTTCGAATCCGAAACGCTCAGCCTCTTGAGAAATGACCCTTTACGGCTGCCATAGTTTCATGTATTGCAGAGCTTCAATAACGCAGCGTGATTACGGATGGGAATCGACCCGTGTACCTGTGTGTGGTACAATCAATGCGGCAATGAGCAAAAGGGCCAAGGAGATCACATTACGGTCTAATAACACAAAACACGAGAACGTCGGCGAGGGAGGACAAAAAAAAAATGAGGATCTGTCAAGAAATAAAAACGAGAGGTGGTTGCTCCACATCTGAGGTAACAAATAGAGGAAGATGCGGGGAAGCCTAGGATGCCAAGTCCTTCTGTTTTCAGTTTGATAATCGCTAACTGTTCCTCGGCTCTCGGCATCTCACTGTCAGTTATCTTCTGAAGTCATCTGCAGGCAAATTGAACTGTCAGCCATCAAGACCTCTGGGAGGTTTTTTACAAAATATCCGTTTTGTCCGTGGTTGTTTAACCCGGCGTCTCGTTCTTGATCGTGAATTGTAACAAATTTGACGTCATTGGAGAAAATTGTTGAGCTCTATCTTTGCTGAGTCAGATTAAACTGAGCAAAGAAGAGCCGTTTGGACCGATCCCGTTGTTAGGTCGGATCATCTTCTCTCATCTCTTGTAGTGGCTCGGAGCGTCAGCGAACATGTATTTGAGTCTGTAGGCCTCCGCCAGTAGCAAACCCACCTCTTCGTTGCCCCAGTGTATTGTGGGAAGGTTTTGCAGGAGCATTAGCAGGCTCTGAAAAGACATAAAAACACATTTCATAAAACTGGATCATTTAGTGGCTTTTATACAGCTGCCGGTAGCAGCTTTCCACCGCAAAAATACTGTTTCCTGGCTATTATCTGTTCTCTGAAATGCATTTTTACTGTTCTCAACTCGAAATGCTTGCAATCACGGCATGATTACAATGTTAGGATAATGTGATTCATGATTGGCGCTGCTCTTAGGTCGCTGCTTGTGTTTCGCGTGTGTATGTGTGTGTGTGTGTGGGCTTTCCACCAATATATATATATATATATATCGACCGAATAGTCTGGCATTACATCACATGTGTGTGCAAGAATATAAACCGACTAATTAAAGATGTTCAACACTGTTAAATTTACTTTAAACCATTATGGCATTAACCTAATTCTACATCACAATAGCTTTGTTTTGATTGATTTATAGTCGGAAATGTCAAAAGCACAGGCGTCTTTGTTCAATTCTCAGGAACAGCAATCCTGTAAACAGAAGCTCATTTATCAGTAAATAATGGAGAAACACATCAGTAGTGGCTAATTTATTTATAAATCAAATCCAGATGGGACATTTGCTGTAAATTAATTACTATCAAAGCTCAACAAGTGTGAATTATCACCTACAAATGAAACTCAGTCAACATGCTATCTTTTGTACGGTTAAAACACCAGAAGACTGTAGAAACATCAACAAAATGTCTTTGATGTTTGGTGAGAAACTGACTGGATTTTGACAGCGAAAAAAATACATAAGAGTGGGGTCCAAAAAACTAAGACGACACTGAAATGTGGGATGTAAAATCAAATTTAAATACGAAAATAAAAATATCCTAAAAAGCTTTAGGTTGTTGAAAATTCAAAAACAATATAACATTTAAATATGATATCAAATAATTAATATTTACAAATTATTCTTAAAATTATCTTAATAATAATAACAAATGTATAGTATATTATTATTAAATATTTTTATTATTTAAAAGAAAAAAGAAAATCTGTGATCATGTGAAAATTCTTAAAATATGACGAAAATATTTTTCCTAAAAAAAGATAAAGGTATTATTGTTGTTGTTATTATTATTATTATATAGTTTTTTTAATCAAATAAAAGCACATTTCGAAAAAGTGTTCATGTGAACATGATCATCAGTCCATAAATGATTAAATGTGATTATTTTAACCCACTGACAGCCCAAGTATAAACACATGCTCAAATAGCTGTTCATCTAACCCTTCTCTACCCAACCTGACAATGAGGCAAATAATAAACGAGAGAATCAGAGATGGAGCTGAGGCGTGGAGATCCTTTGAAAGAGAGCGCGGAATAGTGAGAATGGGGGGTGAGTAACAGAACGCTCTCGTTTCGTGGGCGCTGAGGTGTGGTGAATCCGCTGGCCTGTGAAATTCGGTTACAGCTGAGGCTGCTCCACTGGAGGGCCAATTACTCCGATAGTCTCGGCGTAAGTGACGGCCGGGACGCTTTCCAGTGATGCATGCATGTGTGGGAAGCGCAGACGGTCACATGTAAACGACACACGCTTCTTCACGGAGCCCAGCGGCCGTGACACACGCAATATGCGGGAGGTTGTCGGTACCTGAAAGTCCACCATGGATAGGATCTCTTTGCGCCATTTGATGAGGAAGGCAGAGCACACGTAGAGGTGAAAATGGGAGAATCCCTCCGACTCCGCCTGAAGATCAAGAGCAGACACAGAGCAGAACACACATGCTTGCATTAGTAAGTAGACATTAAGCAGATGATTATCCAAAGTGACATACAGCACACTTATTAGAGACTCAGCCCCTGGGGTTAAATGCCTTTCTCAAAAGGCAAAATAATGATGGCTTTGAGGTTTGTTCCTTGCAGGGACTGAACCAGCAACCTTCCAGTTACCAGTTTTAAGCTCTAAAGCAATAGTTCACCCAAAATGAAAAATTCAGTCATAATTTAATCGCCCTTGCGATGCTCCAAACCCATGCAAGTATATAAGTGAGGTTCCTTTTAAAGCTTTTTTGTCATACTGAACATACCAAGTTTTTTCCTCACCAAAGTCATCTTTGGCTTGATTCGGCCTGCTCATAATTAATGATTTTCTGTTAGCTGTTAGTGTTTTTATTTTATTTTTTACATTTTCACACATTTGTTTTCTAGCAGTTTATGAAAAACAACATGAAAGTGTCAAAAGTATGTACCATATGTGCCATATTTAGAGTCTCCTTAATTAATACCACAGCTTAGAAGAAATTCAGACAAAAATACTGAAATTTAAGTCAATAATATTAACCATATTTTGAGAACCAATGATATCAAATCTGGTCATTTTTGAACACTAACGTGAACAAAGATTTGGGAGCTGAAAAAAAGGAAAGATTTCCAACAAATAATGATTATAATTTCACTCTGTTCCTCACCAGTGCTGTTATTGTTAACTAAAACTATTAAAAATCTAAATAAAGTTGATATATGAAAAACTAAAAAAAAAAAAAAAAACTTACAAAATTAGAAACGTTACTTTGGCAATTAAGTTGAAGTACTAAAATTAATAAAAATAAAAAAATAACAAAGCTGAATACTGGCTAAAATATTTAAACTGATAAAATTGACAAATGCACATAATATGACTAAAACTTAATGTAAAATTAAAATGAAAACTGAAAATGTAAAAGCTAATTCAGAATATTAATAAACACTATACTATTACATAAATAATATTATAAAACGGATAGTTCCGGTCCTTGATTCTGATTGGTTGAGACGCGTTCAAGGCCCATTCACACCAAGCACGATAACTATAAAGATAACGATAAAGATATAGTTCTAAAAATCGTTCTCAATATTAAAGAATAGCAGTCCACACCACAACCATAACGATAAAGGCACAGAGAAACAATATCGTTGGAATCACTTCCAGAACGATTTTTTTCCAGCTGATGAACGATACAAACATTGACAGCCAATCAGAATCCATCCTGCTATAATGAGCTCGAGAATTTAAAGCGGCAGACGCACGTGAGCTTAGAATAAACAGACGATATCGTTCGCTGGTGTGGACGCTAATATCGTTATCTTTATAGTTATCTTTATAGTTATCGTTCTTGGTGTGAATGGAGCTTTACTCTACAATCATACACCTTTGTTTACTTTGTGTGCTGCTTGGCAACCACTTTGTTGCAACCACAACTGTTTCTGAGGAACTACATTGTTTGGTGGAAGAATTCTGTTTTTATTAATATCATTACACTTTATTTGCTCTGTTTTATTTTGTGAAACCTAACTACGTATATGGAATAACCGTTTTATAAAAGCAATAAGCCCCGTGAAGCCGTGGTTTACAGTGAATTTATAACAGCTGAGGGGCGTTGTTAGGCACGCCGCGAAGCTTTTATAAATTCACTGTAAACCACAGCTTCACGGGGCTTATTGCTTTATTAAAATAACACTGTTTCTCCCACAAAGGTAACTTATGACTTCAGAAGACTTGTCAATATGAATGGTTGCTGTATAGCCAAGATCTGCAAGAAGATTCTTCTGTCTTTATTGGTTAGAAAAGCAGAGCAAACACAAAGACATTATGAAGGAGGGGATAAAAGGTATCAGGTCACAGCGCGGGCTGGATTTGAACCCATCTCCCAGTAAAAGCTGGGATATACATTTCGATTTTGTTGGCTTTGCCATGGCTCCAACGACTGCACATTCCCTCAACCAGAAATAAAAACAACGGTTTACTTCCATCATGAGTAATAAGAGTTTTAAGACAACACATATTATTCGTTAAATTATTCAGCTACAGTCGAGCGCCTGCACACAGAGCTCCTAATGTAGTTTTACCATCTATCTAATTTATTGGATTGGGAATTAGGTCGTGTTAGTTATTCCCATCGTATCTAGAGAAGACACCACCCACCACCTCATTCGTCCTCCTCTCTCCCCAGCATCCCCCTCTACTTGTGCTGTGTACAGTGTGGTACATTTAGCCACTTGAGAGAGGCAGCCAGCGGTTATAAATAGCTTTGTTTACTTCATTTCTCTTGGTCCCTCTTGAAGTGAGAAAAGAGGGGGAAAAGAAGAGGAGAATGAGGAAGGAGGAAAAAGTTGGATTTTTATGAAGGCACAAAGAAATTGCAAGAACCAGGAGCGAATCTAGGAGTTGAGTTTATCGCTTCTCAAATTATGAAATGTGTTAGTCAAGAGATGTTTCTTTCTTGAAGTGTGACGAGTCGCCGGGTTCAAATCTCACTTGACAATTAATCTTTCTGAAAGTAACAACTTATTAAAATTGCCAGTAGATACACTGTGTATCAGGAACTAAAGAGCACTTCTGTGTGAAAATAGCAAGAGTGACACTGTTAAGACAAGATGTTTCTAAAAAGAAAAAATTTAAATCTTGTCCGAAAAATAACTATATATATATATATACATATATGGATGATCCACGACTTTTTTTTTTTGTGATGGTTGTTCATGAGTCCCTTGTTTGTTCTGAACAGTTAACTGAGAACTGTTCTTCAGAAAAATCCTCCAGGTCCTGTAGATTCTTCAGTTTTCCAGCATCTTTTGCATATTTGAACCCTTTCCAGCAGTGACTGTATGATTTTGAGATTCATCTTTTCACACGGAGGAAAATTGAGGGACTCAAAAACAGCTTATTAAAAAAGGTTCAAACATTCACTGATGCTCCAGAAGGAAACAAGATGCATTAAGAGCCTAAACTTTTAAACAGGATGATGTCGTCCAAATTTTTCTTATTTTGTTGAAATATTTTTTTTTTCCATTTAGTACTGCCCTTCGGAAGCAACAGAATATACTTGCATGTTTCCCTGAAGACAAATTAAGTACAATTTACCTTGATCTTCAAATTCAAAAAGTTTTCTCTTAATGCATCGTATTTTCTTCTGGGGCATCAGTGAATGTTTGAACCTTTTTTAATAGCTGTGTTTGAGTCCCTTAATCGCCCTCAGTGTAAAAAAAAAAAGAAACGGATCTCAAAATCACAGTCACTGCTGGAAAGGGTTCAAATATGCAAAAGATGCTGGAAAACTGAAGAATCTGCAGGACATGGAGGATTTTTCTGAGGAACAGTGCTCAGTTTAACTGTTCAGAACAAACAAAGGACTCATGAACAACCATCACAAAAAAAAACAACAAAAAAAACAGTCGTGGATCATCCAGGTAACCACACACAGTATTAAGGGTTTCCAAACTTTTGAAGGGGGTTATTTTAATCATTTCAGCTATTGTATCGTCTTGTGGACTATACTGTATGTAAATATCTTTAATGTAAAATATCTTACTCAGGACAGTTGTACACACACACACACACACACACACACACATATATATATACACACACACACACAAACAAACAAACACAAATGTTCAACAAAAATATAAAAAAAACAGAAATGCAGTAAAAATATTAAAATAACAGCTTTCTATTTTAATATATTTTAAAATTTAATTTATTCCTGTGATGCAAAGCTGAATTTTCAGCATCATTACTCCAGTCTTCAGTTACATGATCCTTCAGAAATCATTCTAATATGGTGATCTGCTGATCAATACAAATTTCTTATTATTGTCAATGTTGAAAGCAAAGTTGAAAGTTGTGCGTTTAATAAAAACATGCTTTTTTTAGGATTCTTTGATGAATAGAAAGTTTAATAGGATTTATTTTGAAATGCAAATTTTTTGTAACATTATAAATGCCTTTACAGTCACTTTTAATCAATTGAATGCATCCTTGCTGAATAAAGCTCAATTCTTTCAACAATTATACTGTTTCTCCTTTTTCAATCTATAGTGGACCAAGTATACAAGTACCGTAGTATTGACATGTATGACATCATCACTGCACTATGGTACTGAAAGAGTACTTGTTTGTTTGTAAGGAATAAGAAAAAGCCAGAAAGGACTGCTAAAGAGAGAAAGAAGAGATAGGAGCCTTAAGAGGATTGAAGACTAAGCAAACAAAAGCAGAAGAAAGAAGCGTTCATGATTAAGTCCTCTTTCCAATAAGAATGCATTCGACATGGGGTTATTCACAGCCAAGCGTTCCCTCCTCCACCTCTCAACAGCAGTCATCTCACTAATGGAGGGGACGTGAGATGCAGATGCTTCAGAACATCAGTCAGACATTAACATGACTTTCCTTTTTGTCTTCACAGCTCTTTCTCCCTCTCCTTCTTCATTTCTTTCACCCACATCTCTTTCTTTCTGGCCTGGGCTCTTTGTGCACCTCTAATTGATCTTGAGGAGTGAGTCTTTGTGCCAAACGTGCAATTACAGGAGGGACCTGATAAAGGAGCCCAGGAGAAGTTGAGGCTCTTTTCTCTGCCTTTTTGGACAAAACGCCCTCATCTAATCAACTTGCTCTGGTCTGCCGAACATGCAACATGTGTCTGCTCACTGGATAATGCCAATGAATGTATCCATTAACAATTAATCAGGAACATATTATTCAGTGTTATCAGAAAAGCCTAAAGTGTCATTTGAACAATGGTAGTTTAATACAAAATGACAATAAAAAGGACTGTAATTAATGCTAGATGGCAACATGAAATCAGAATGTACCCAATCTGCTTGTCTTACTGTGCATGCTTCATCAGTCCAAGTTATCATAATGAAAAAATTAAAAATACAAAATGTTTTGAAGCTCATTACGCCGTCACAATAAGTAATGGCTGAACTCATGAATATTAACTGGATCATGCAGATGCTGCTACATAACTGGCCAGCCCACTCAGGTAATTTAATGAATATTCATGAGTCAGCTCTATTCGAAGTTTTGCTTTATATGCACCTCTTGCCAATGCAGCATCGAGCTACTATATATTTTACATGACCTTTTACCATTTTGTTTAACATTTTAAAACAAATCTATTCTAACACAAATCTCCAAGGTATATTGAAATGAAGATAAAGTCTATAGTATTTGTTGTTTTATGAGTCAAAACTGTAAAGTCAAGAATTTAACATCACAAATAAAATGTGAAAAACTGATGCAAGCAAGAACGTGTATCTAGTGAAAGATATAATGTACACTACTGGTCAAAAGTTTGAAATAATTAAGATTTTTAAAATATTGTTGAAAGAAGGCAATAATAACTCACCAAGGCTGCATTTATTTGATTAAAAATACAATAAAAACAGTAACATTGTTAAAAAAAAAAAAGCAATTTAAAAAGAACCGTTTTATTTCTTAATTTTATTTTAATATCATGTGATTGCAGAGAGGAATATTCCATTACTCATGAAATTAATACATTTATTGCATCTAGCAATTTATAATGTTACAAAAGATTTCTACTTTTTTTAAAACTCTCTATTCATGAAAGAATCCTGAAAAACAATTCACGGTTTCTACAAAAATATTAGGCAGCAAAAACTCTTTTCAAAACTGATGAAAATTCAGCTTGTCATCACAGGGATAAATTACATAGTAAAAAATATTCAAATACAAAACAGTTCTTTTAAATTATAATTTTTCACAATATTACAGTTTTTACTGCATTTTATCGTCAAACAATTACTCCAAACCTTTAACTGATCATATACAGTAATATTAATTACCAAACAACACTGAATATTCCGTTATATTTTGTATTCTGACATACATCACATTACACAAGGTAAATGCGTTGTGAATGTACAAGGTTTAGGCCCTTTCTAAGGATTTGTTCTGAGGTAAAACATCACATTTTTTATTAAGCAATTGATCTGCATGTCTCTCTTTGATCTATCATTAAATTTGCATACATTGGTGTGTGAAGGAAGCAGGGCAGGTCACAAGAGATAGTTTAAGCATGGCTTAACCTTGAAAACACATACAGCATGGCTCAGTTTCTCTCTGTGTGTTAAGCTGGCCTCATTGACACACTTCCCGTGAGGTGGGTGAATGCCACCTTTCCTGCTCGCCCCGACCCTGACCTTGCTGTGAAAAATGCCTGAGGAAATAAAGACCAAAAAAAAATAAATCTGGAACTGTGAAATAAGAACAGATGGAAAATAACCTGGAGGAAAACTGTGCTCGTCAAGCAAGCTCGTCTATATTCAGTAATTTTTTTTCTTACAAAATTTACAAATATGTATAAGAAAAATTGTCAAAATCTGTAAAAGGTGTTTTATATGTTGCCTTTAAGGGGCTGATGATCCAAAATGGCCATCAATAATGTTTGGCAACATCACTGATTCAAAACGAAGAGAAGCAAATGACATGCAAGCGTGCATAATGGTTCACCGCTCGCCATTTCCTATCTCGGATTGCACTTGTCACCTGACAACTATTCCCCTTTATCCAATAAAACCCACCTTGTGGAAACAGATCCATGTCAAAACGCCATGCATGAGAGATGGAGCGGCAGATAGATGGAGGCAGATGTAAAGGACAAAGAAATGAGCAAGGAGATATATCAAAAGAAAGTCTGAGAAAGGACATGCAGACGGGACACGAAAGGAAATCAGTGGAAGGAAACTCATCAAAAGAACATTAATGAATGACAGGAATACGAGCAGTGCACACCTTTTTGCCATTTTAACAAGAAAAAAAAAAATGTATGAGCAGCGTGGTCTTCAAGGACGTGTCACCCATAACCTCTCAAGCAATATCAAAAGAAAGTCTGAGAAAGGACATGCAGACGGGACACGAAAGGAAATCAGTGGAAGGAAACTCATCAAAAGAATATTAATGAATGACAGGAATACGAGCAGTGCACACCTTTTTGCCATTTTAACAGAAAAAAAAAAATGTATGAGCAGCGTGGTCTTCAAGGACGTGTCACCCATAACCTCTCAAGCGTTTGAAAAATTATTTGAAGATCAGCTATCATTCATGGAAGTCTGCATTCTTCCTGGAAACCACGTAATGGGAGGTGACATAGGGGTGTAAAAAGGCATCAATTATGGAATTGAATAATCAATTATAATTGCCAAAATTAAAGTATACTAAATAAAAATAACAAGTGGACAATTACCCATAACATACAGCAAAAACAACAGAGGAGTCATTCAAGTATGCATTCTAATATTAATTAGGTGGTATAATGATTATTTTCCAAAAAAGTTGGGGAACAGCAAACTTAGAAATTAGCAAAAACAATTACTACACCCCTACTTCATTACAGGCGAATTGTGTAGTCAGCACATTTAAAAAATAATTATGAAGTGCACTAAAGTAACTGAATTGGAAAACCAATTCTAAGCACAATTAATTACACTCCCACTAGAGGTTCAAGTTCTGGGCTAGTAACCAAAAGTTTGTAGGTTCAAACACTCAGCTGATCCATGAACCAGCACCACTGTTCTTGATCAAGACACTTAACCCCAGGCCACTTTGAATAAAATCGCCAGATAAATGACAAATTTGACATAGAAGCACATAGGGGTGTTACGAGACACTTATCCCACGAGACGAGACACGAGACTGGGTTCACGAGAACGAGACGATACAAGATTTTTAGACTTTTAAAAAAAAATCCTCAATGATGAAATATATAGGGAAAAATAATCTTTTATTCTTATTAAAATCATTAAACTTATACATTTTCACATCAATTTATTAAAAGTTTAACAAAAATTACATGTTTAGGGCCCTATGAAATGTTTTATTTTTTCTCACCATATTATTTATATATATTTTTTGTTACCAAATTCTGTGTTTTAGCATGTCTAATTATACTTTTATTTTGACGGGTTGCCGTGAATACTTTTACAGTTCTGTGTATGTGATATGACGCTAGATTTACTCAAATCAAACGCTAAAATGCTCATGAAGTGACTCTTAGAGCAGTTCTGGAGATGTTGTTCATGTGTTTACGTCCCCATTTAGTGAGACGGAAGACGCTGAAATCACCGCGAGTGTCACGCGTGCTTCAGTATGTGTGTAGTAAATGAAACCGCGCGTCTTCGTAAGGTCTTCAGTCAGATCTCGCGAGACACATCGGATCTCACGAGATCTCGTGCCACGTTTTGGCTGGTGTTGGTGCAGCAGTACCTGGTAGGTGTCCCACAGGCGAATGGTACAGCGCAGCGGCAGCTCCCGCATCAGCAGATTATTCATCCAGCGGAAAGCAAACTGCAGATACTCCACCTCATACTTCTGAAAGTGCACGTGGACATCCTCTGTGGGTGTAGAGAAGAAAGCACAGGGGAGTTATATTCATTTGCTGGTAGTTTCGGCAAAGTGCTGCACTGGGAGTAGCTTTTGTAAACCATGTATGGACCCCCATTGTTTAAAGAAACACTCTGGCCCTAAGATCACCGGCTATTGTTGAATTCTCCCCACACCTGTTTCACTGAATTAACATTATAGACCCCTAACGTGTGTGTAATTATATTCGATTGAATGGAGAGAGAGAGAGAGAGAGAGAGAGAGAGAGAAGGTTGGGGTGGAAAGGAAAAGTAGGCCTGGTGCTTAGCTCATTGAGAGAGGGATTTTTCTGATAAGCTCTCGTTCGGCCTTTGAACGGAATAAGAATGGCTTTCGAAAGCGGCTGTATTGACTAGACTCCTGATAGATATTGATGGAGAAAATGTGACGGGTTTCTGAAAGTACTGAGTCGGACCTATCAGAAGGAAAATGGAAACTCTTACTGCCACGAATAAAAGCAAAAATAACATTTCAAAAAAAGGTTTTAATAATGAACGATCTTCGAGATGTTACATAAGGGTTGCATCATAATGGATTCAACTAATGGAGTGAGTCATTGGTGTGAGGATTGACATGATCACAAATTCACTTCTTTCACAATCCCACTTCTTTTAAAAAAACAACAACAAAAGGTTTTGCTCATAATGATTCCGATTCCAGCAAACAAAATGAAAGTATAAAATATTTGCAAACAACTTCTTGTGCCATAACATTGAAACCATTGTCATTTTCTGGAAAATATCTTACTTTTTTTTTTGTTTTTTGGTCCTCCGAGAAAAAAACAAAACAAAAACTCAACTTTCCAGATAAACGTTAAAAAATGTTTTAAGAGCTATCACAAATTGAGGCATTGTACTCGTACTTTGTTTATACATTTAGTTAATACATAGTTAAATTCCAATATTTTGTATTGGTTTGAATAAGCCCTAATGCTACTTTATTCACAACTGTTTTAATAATAATAATAATAATAAAATAAAAAAAGACATTTGCAAAGTGAATACGTGCAATGAATAAAAGAAAAACAGCAAACGTTTCGGACAGCATCTCAATTATTTTAGTCTTTATAATGGTTCATAAATTAATGCATAAAAATAGTATTAGTTCTTGAGCCGCAAATCAGCATATCAGAATGATTTCTGAAGGATCACGTGACACTGAAGACTGGAGTAATGATGCAGAAAATTCAGCTTTGCATAATAGCATATAAAATGTATTAAAATGGTTTATAAAACACTTGCCATTTTATTAAAATAGTTGTCATAATATTTCACAATATTACCATTTTTATTGTATTTTTCATCAAATAAATTCAGCCTTGGCAAGCATAAGAGACTTCATTCAATCAAAATAAATAAACTTTTTGCAATCATTTTTACAAAAAGTGTATAATTTTGCACTTATTTGTATGCTTTATTAAAATAACTAATAGCTGTCAAACACATTCAATACCAGCCTTAAGGACTGCTAAATATACTCTGTAACATGTTATGTAACATAATTTATCACATGTTAAACAGGGAAGGCAAACAGTTAACAACGATTCAAAACCAGTGCGTTATAATTCACACATGACTAATTATCCACAGCTAAGCTTATTTATCAAGTTGAACGCTGGTCATTTTACTCATTCCAACATTTAATTAAAAACACCATTTGGTACATCTACAAGATACTCACTAGTGTATTTTCCTGACTAGTCTTCTGAAAGTGCGATTTGTTTTCCCTTCACTCCATTCATCTCTCCTCTCAGCTCACTTCCATTTGCCTTCACACCCTAATCGCAGGGGCTTATGGGGAAATGATTTCTCTCCTGTGCTCCCCGGCGAGACTGTGGGGTCTGCTATTGCTCACGGTGCTGGTGGATGCTGATGGATGGGAAAGAGGCGCGCGGCGGCTCTCACCGAGAGTTTCAGTGTGGGCTGTTCAGCTTATCACACCAATCACTCTGAACAGGGGAGGCGTCGTCCAGATGGTATAAACACTCTCAAAGAAAAAAAAAAAAAAAACAGAGGCGGACTAGTGGCATAATGGAAACGTGTGATTCCAAGACACAGAAACGGCCAACGCCATGGGAAAACAAGTCTTTTCCGAGGCGACGAACAAGATCGCACCCGGGCAGAAAAACAGCTCCTTGTTGTTTTGAACATTTTGCACTGCTATTTATGGTTCGATACAACTAGTGCACATCATTCTGGAGGGCAAAGGGCAAAAAAGATAAGATCATTTGAGGGACTCCAGACTTTGCCATTTCGCTCTGCCAGTCATGATGTGTTATTTGTGCTGAAGCTTCTGAGGGTGTTAAAAAAAAAACCCTGACGTGTCGCAAAAAGCGGCTATTCATAGAAACCTGTCAAAACTTTTATGCTCCTCAAAAGAACAACAGCTACAACAAGTGAAAAAAGAAATAAATATATCTACGAGTACAGCTTTGTTGAAATGTCAAAAACAAAGTGCAAAAAGAGAGTGATTTCTTTTAAGTAGCTTCAAAGGTAACTTGCTTGGTGACCAGGACCAACTACCCCAAACATTTGAAATATCCGTTTCACTTAAATATTACAATTTTGTAAACATTTACTCATTCTGATGTCGTTGCAAATAGTTTTTCATGTGGGAAGTCAAAATGAGAAATTTGAAAAAATGTTTACGCTGCTCTTTTGTCACAATGAAAGCATACAGTGACCAGGGTCTGTTCAATTCCAAAACACAATTTAATTTGAAAATGTTCATTTTTATTAAACTTAATTTTGTTTTTCAGTATATAGTGGTTCTGAGATTTTTTTTTATAATGAACAAGAGGAAGCAAATTATCAAAATTCTTATTTTTACACAAACAATTACTTTAATTCTATGAAGCGTGAAAGGAATTGATGTGTTTGTCAACATGATCTTACCATCTATTCTGCTAACGAGCTCTTCCAGCGCCTTCACTTTAATCTGAATCCCAGGCTGGGCAAATGTGTAGTTGTCCTGATAGAGAAAAACAAAGGCAGAATTTAGAACATGAATAATTATTCTGTCAACTCACTAAGGCTCTTTCACAGGACTTATATAAGAGCTTCAATTGCTCAATATAAGCATTGTGTGCCACTTTGACCTACATGACATGAAAAGCTCTGCAATTTTTATTCTACGTGGTAATTGTTAAAACTAAACATGTAAAAATGCTTTTAAGAGACCTCAAATAAACAATAAATGTTATAATTAATAGACTGCTTACAAAAAAAAAGTTGGCTGTGTGACGAAAGGTTGAAAAGAAGCAGAGTTGAAAAATAAAATAAAATTAAAATTAAATTAAATACAAAAAAAACTAAAAACAAATAAATAGTTAAAGAAAAATAAGAAAAGAAAAGAAAAAAAAAACAGTAATGACAAGGGTGAAATGACTTAGTTAGGATTTATTAACTGCTTGTGCAAAAATGTAAATAAAATAAAATAATACAATACAATAAAAAGTAAGAGAAAACAGTAACAACTAAAATAAAATAAAAAATAAATAAAATAAAGAGAAAACAGTACCAACAATGGTAAAGTAACATTGAAAAAAATTTAATTAAATCAAATAAAAAGAAGAAAGGGAAAACAATAACAACAATGGTAAAATAAAAGAAAAGAAAAGAAAGAAAACAGTAACAACAATGGTAAAGTAAAATAAATTGGAAAAAAGAAGGAAGAGAAAACAGTAACAATAATGGTAAAATAAAATGAAATAAAAAGCAAGTTACTGAACGACACCTCTGATGCATGGCTTGGTACCAGGTGATTAACTAGGAACTGTGGGCACAATATAGTCACATTTATCGTTATTTCGTAACGAATGTTGTTCCGTCTCTCTATCTCTGTTCCTCATCCCTTGTGGGTCATTAAGGGCCAATGGCCGTCTGCGGCTCGTGTGTTAGCCCAGGGGGACGACTGCATAGGAAGACACATTCTGTGTTCTGATCCGTGCGCGCGTTCTGCCCTTCAGCTCGGCTCCACTCAGCCAATGAGCACATCACAGAGCGGCCCACGGGACAACCTGACTGCGGCCTGCATCTGACCCTTGCGCCCGCCTGCAGATGAGTGCGCTCACACGCTCGCCTCACTCTAACAGAGGGCCGTTCTCAAGGGAACACAGCCAAAGATCTGAATCCCCCTAGCTTAAACGTCCTAGCTTCAACTTCCTCTCCAAGTTTTTATGTCTCTCTCCCCTAGGCGTGTAAGTGTCTTATCCTCTAGGGCTTAAGCACAACAAAGTCGGTGCCTTTTTTCAGTCCGTCAGAGAGTCTTTTTTTTTATTGCATTGGATTCAACTTGTCTCTAGCTTTTGGAAAAGAACAAAAGGACAGGATGACCACTACAGGGTTTAGTTTTAATAAAAAGACACATAAAAAGACACCGAAGAGATACTGTCCTCAGGGAACTGCAGATGGACCAAGAAGGTCTATAATGCCTGCAGAAAGCTATTACCATTACGGTCTTAATGGCAGTAGCTCTGCTGGTGCATAATGTATTTTAATAGAATTTTGTGAAGTATGGGATAATTATTATTAAGAAATAAAGAAGAGAAATAAAAATAAGGAATAAGATGATGTTGACACACAAATCAAATGAAAATTATTTAAAATTTATAACAAATATTAGTAACAGTATACCAACAAAAAAGATTTTTTCGAAAAATTATTTTGAATACTATTATTATTATTATGAGGAGGAGGAAAAACAAGAGGAAGAAAAAAATAATTTTGCTTCCATTAAATAAAATACAAGAAGGGATAAGAATAAGAAAGTAAGATAAGAAAAAAACAGACATGAATGACATGAATGAAATTAAATCCAAGTATAAATGTATTTATATATGTTCATAGAAAATTATATAAATATTAACAGTAGCAATAAAAAGATTATGATGATGATGAAGAAAAGAATAATTTTTCTCCTTTGAATAAAATAAAATAACAGTAACAACAATAAAAAAGATTATTATTATTATTAGAAATTTTATAGAAATAAAAAGGAATAAGAATAAGATAAAAAGAAATAAGAAAAACGATGATGGCATGAATAAAATGTATTATACATTTGTTTATATATGAATTTTTGTTTTTAAAAAATAAAATTCCATAAAATATTCAGAGTAACAAGACATAGATAATTATTTTGATAAAGAGGAAGAAAAAGAAACAATGACAAGGGTGAAATTAAATAGTTAGGATTGATAAACTGCTTGTGCAAACTAAAATAAAATAGTATAAAATATAAAAATATATTTAAAAAATAAATAAATAAAATAATTAGAACGAATGGCTACTTTTGAATGGAAAACACTGGAGAAAGATGGTTATGACATCTCCCATCTAACCAGTCAAACCTCAAGTGGAACAAATACCTGTATCCCATCCAGCAATTTGCTCATGCACCAAAAGCTGTCGGCTTCAATGTTTCGTTGCGTATCCAGAGGCAAGCTTGCCATTTCGAAATTTTCCACGTCTTCCTCTAAGGAAAAGAAGACACACAAAACACACACACATTCATGTTCGGTCACCAGCAGACCAAACCAACACACATGCTGCAGGTGTTCTCAGCAGTCTGTGTTTTCTTGCAGGCGACAGCAGCTCTGGTGTGTGACACGCATCGTATGCACAGACACCACGAAGCCATTAGATCATTAGCCGGCAAACTGCATTCTTTATTCAACACATTCATCAACTCACTTCCTCGCCCCTCTCCCTCCCACCGCAGGCTTCCCCTCGCAGCCATGACCTTTCCCGACTCTTTAAACAGTATGTGCTAAATGATGCTGATACACACATTATGCCCCAGAGAGCCAGACCTGGCTGGAAGAGACTTCTGTGTGCCACTCCACTCACCCACCGCACAACTAATGTAGTCCTCCATCTCTTGATCTCTCTCTCTTGCTCTTTTCTTAATAAGGATGGAGGGATTGGGGAGGGGAAGGAAGGACAAGGAGCTATTTTGATGAAGCACTGAGTAAAGAGAAAGAGAGAGAGAGTGCTCTAGGCATGTTTGCATGCAGCTTGCGCATCGCCAAAGCAATTCAGTCAATCACGCGACTGTTACTGCGGTACATGAGAGCTGAAATATAGATAAGAAGAAGGTCAGATCCAAGGTCAAAGACACAATGACGAATACATGCTCTCGAACAACCGTAGATACTCAACTGAAGACCATGTTGACAATCTCTGCTGAGGTCTGTGGTTAGAGACAAAATCAAACTGACTGTAAACAGTAAACTACTAGGCGCATAAACCTACGTACTCTACTCTACCTTTCAAAAGTTTGGGGTTAGTACGTTTTTTTCCCGCAATAAATTAATACTTTTATTTTGCAAGGATGCATTCAATTGATCAAAAGTGACAATAAAGACATTTGTTTCGTAATGTTTCAAAAGATTTCTATTTGAAATAAATGCTGTTGTTTTCATCAAAGAATTCTGAAAACAATGTATCATGGTTTGCACAAAAATATTAGGCAGCACTTGAACTGTTTTCAACATTGATTAGAATAAGAAATGTTTCTTGAGCAATAAATCAGTATATTAAAATTATTTCTGAAGGATCGCATGACAGAATGACTCCTGAAAATTCAGCTTTGCATCACAGGAATAACATTTGAAATATATTAAATAGAAAAATGTTATTTTAAATAATAATAATACTTTACAATATTACTGATTTACTGTATTTTTGATCAAATAAATACAGCCTTCATAAGCATAAGAAACTTTCAAAAACATCTTATAAATCTTATCCAATACCTTTGAATGGTAGCATACTTTCTTCTGAAAACCCCCAAAAGCAAGTCATACAGGTTTGGAATGACATGAAGGCGAGTAAATGTTGACTGAATTTGGATTTTTGAGTGAGCTCAAAGTGAACTTTGAGTGATCTTTTTTTTATGTGTGTAATTACACCAAATGAAACTGCAAAAGTGCAAAAATAAACGACCCCTTATGTTTGTTGATCATGTGCACATTTTTATGCCTTGCAAACTAATGCATTTGGTTTTCTGTGATAAACATTGCTGTTAAAAATTTAGCTGATTAAAATGTCATCAAGAAAACATTATCTAGCTAGAAGATGAGGATGCAAATTAAAAATAAATAGTTGCAACCGGTTTTAATATCCAAAAACACTTTGAATATATTTTAAACTAATTATTATTAAAATCAAACATTTTATTTGTGACAAAAAAATGCTGTAAAAAAAGCAGCTTTTTTTCTTCTTCTTAAATTAGAACTATAAGTTAATCATGGAGTCTGTTAATTAAGAAAACCTTCAATTAATCAAGTCACAGAAGAACAGTTTTTATAAACAATTTACAGAGAAATTTGTATTTACTGAATGTGGCCCACAAATGTGAATCAGACTGGTAGCAGGTAAAAACCGGCAAAACCTCTCTGCTCAAACTCTGAGCAAACTGTCAGTAAACCTCTGCATTGCAGCAGGAAGAACAGCTGATGTGGGGCCGAGTGAGAGCCCGGATGGGATTCAAGTAAAAAAAGACGGATGGAGAACGACAGGAAAGAGCTGGCAGGGGGGAAAAAAGCTGGAAAAGGAAAGTAAATAGCCCTCTTTGACCACAAATGAAGCATGCAGTGCCCTGCCGGTCATGGGCCGGGTCATATGTCACTGGCCGCAGCACTGGAGAGATTCCTGATCCATTTAGCTCTCCACATTTCCACATCACTCCAAAGCTTTGGACACACATACACACAAAGCTGCTGCATAAAGCGGCTTTACAGAATGCAGGAGAAATCCTGTTTGTGGCACAAAGAGAGGCTTTGCCACCCTGTTCTCTGACCCCGTGGAGAAAAAGGGGGTTATTGTGCCATGTGCGAGTATAAGCGACCTGAGAGATCATTCAATAATCACGAGTCAAGTCTGCAACTCCTGAAACAAATCACTGCTCATTCAGGTCGTTCCTCCATGTCTCAGGTTGAGCATTAAATGATCCGTATTATAGAGCTCAAACTCTAAAAGCGGATTGGATGAGCCATGTTCAAAGCCGTTTATAAAATATGCCGACAGGCGCACACCTGGTGACCGCACATCAATTGAATTCTTTATGAAAGGAATAGTTCACCCAAAATCCATGATTTTCTCATTCCAAACTCATACGATGACTTCTGTGGAAAACAACAAGAGTAATTTGTGTTGAACAGGTTGCTATGTTGCATACAACTGCAATAAACAGGGACTGGAGCTTTCAAACTTCAAAAAATTAGGTTAATATGACTCATGCAAATTTATTTCAAATCTTTCAAGCCATATAACATTTTTGTTTGGGCAAATAGACCATAATAAACAAAATTAATCTTGGCATTCACCCTAGCTCTACTTGGCATGTTCATTAGGAGAAGTAGCCATTCGTAACCAATTAAATTGATGAATCAGTTGATTCAGTTCACAAAACTGGTCTGAGCAAAGCCCAAAGTATACTTCGTATTTTGTTGTTGTTCCGTCTCTTTAATTTTGTTTTCTACTATGAACCATCAGTCCGGGGCCAGCGTTGTGGTACAACTGATTAGTGAAAGTGCAAAACCAAGTCAATGCGCATGTGCGACCTGCGCGTACAAAGTACGCAATCGGATGGGTGCATGTGCAGTATACTATTCTGGTGATGAAATTTGGGTCAGGCACACTGTACGTGGACCCTCCCGTATGCGTAATAACCAAAGTGTACTTTGGCCTTAAGTCTTCAACAAATCACAAATTCAAACCAATCTGGTTCTTGTGCTCAACCCACTGATTTAATGATCTGGTCACAACCACTGGAGAAGATTTTCATTGAATAACAAATGTCAAACTCAAAAAGCTATTAGATAACTTGGAATATAGTGCACAAGCCGTATGGACTAATTTTATGGTGCTTTTTTTCCAAACTTAAAGGTCCCCTGAAGTGCCTTATTTTATGTGGTGACGTAATTTCAACTGAAACAGGAAGAGAGGGCGGGACATATCGAGCAGCCCCGCCCCCTTTTTAAAATAGCCAATAGCATTTTGTTTATATCTGCTCGGGCCAGAGCCGTTGAGCTCGGTAAAGCCACATTTGACAGCCACAGTCTAATAGACTACCCCCTAGATTCAATATGAAACTCTTAGTAAAACAAAATAGTGGTCATATAATCATGCTGAGGCTGTGTAGTTGCACACATTTCATTACACCAAATACATTAAAATAATGTTCTTTTTAGCAGCATCATATGACCCCTTTAATATATGCCGTCTCGCACATATGAGCCGCTCCGTGCCATCGCGTCTCTGGACCGGAGCCAAAGTCCGGATCAGACTGTGTGCGCTGCTGCGGTTTGCGTGAAACAATGTGAAACCAGACCTCATTTGCACCAATTGAAAGCATATTTACACTGTCTGAATCGTTCCCTATCACCTACATTGTGCACTTCGAGCCATTCACTGTACAGGAAATGCGTTTTGGCGTAAGTGACGAACTGCAAGCTTTGAATGCTTATATCTTATAAATGCGAGTTTTGTCACTGTTTTGGAGCACACTGCCTTATAGACAACCTTAAGACTAACATATTGATACTAACACCCAAAAAACTTTAATTTTGATTTCATGGGGACTTTAAAGCTCCAGTTGCCAACTGTATGGAAAAGAGTGCCAGATTCATTCTTCACTGACTCATTCAACAACTGATTCATTCTTTTTCACACGTCAAGTCAGTCATACAGATTTGGATTGACGTGGTTTTACCCTCGTGTCATGTTGCTCAGATTAAACACTAATGGCCATTGCACACTGAGTCCGAATTTTTCGTCCGAAATTTTCGCACGTTGAAAAAATAAATACAACCTCATGTTGTGCCAATCACGTTAACACACTGCCTCAGAAACTTTCGTCCGTCATAAAAAAATTCGGATCGGCTTCGATTTTCTGCATTTTTCACATCCGTAGCAAGCATTTTGAGAGGTGTTTTGACAATTCAGAGCCACTGTACAAGCGAACGGCAAAATCCAGAATGGCGATTGTCAAGTTCATCCACTTCGTCTCGCAGCACAAAGCACTGTAAAGATCCTTGCACACCGAGTTCACAGAAATTGGTGGTTTTCTTTTTAATATGTGGCTCTAGTATCGCTAGCAAAGCATCAAACTGAGCCACTGACATCCTGAAGTAAACTTTGAATCGCCCGGGATAATCCCGCTGCTCCTTAATAAGGAGGGGGAACTCTCCTTCCTCTCTATCCAACTTTTTCTTCAACGCGGAAGTAAGCCTATGGGTGAGACTTCCGGATCATTAACCGCTAAATAACGAGGAGAATAACAACGCGCAGTAAATGGTAAAACCGTTTGCACTACAAACCAGTGTGTTCATAAATAAGATAATACATTAAAATAATATTATAAGACACACCAATTTTCAATATCAAGCAGCAAAACGAACTGTTTTGAACAGCTAAAAATAGCTGGATGCAGATGAGACCGGAAGCCAGACCCATAGAATTTACAAATGGCTGCGCCCATTTTTACGACAAGAAAAAGGTGGATATCTCAGGATTGGATCGATGGACCCAATATTTCCTTTCTTTTTAAGAAGCTAGAAGAACAAAATCATCCTCACTGCTTGAAGACTCAATTTAGTACTGTTTTGCGAATTTTTTCGCAACGGATTAATTAATATGCATCGGACTCAGTGTGTAAGGTTTCTGTGCTTGACAAATTTTTAGGATAACAAATACGAAAAAATACATACGAAAATTTCGGACTCAGTGTGCAAGGATCAAGAATCAGCAAATTCAGTTCACAAAGTTGCTCTGAATGAGTAATTCACAAAATGACAAATTCAGACCAAACTTGGTCTTGAGGTTTTAATCTTAATTCACTGATTTAATGGTCCAATCGCAACAACTAAAGGAGAAGATTTTCAGTTGATACCTTTGAAATTTCAACCTCACAAAGCTATTAAATGACTTGGAATATAGTGCACAAGTGGTATGGACTACCTCTATGGTGCTTTTCGCAAGATTACAAAGCTCCAGCTGCCAATTCCATGGAAAAGAGTGACGATTCATTTTTCACTGACTCATTCAGTGACTGATTTGTTCTTCTTCCACAGGAGAAAGTCATACAGGTTTGGATTGACATGTGAGCGAGTAAATTACATATTAATTTTTGAATGAACAATTCCTTTAAATAGTCATGTCGCTTGACAACTATTAAAAAAACCTACAGTTTATAAAACAAACTATATTACGGTTATTTTTTAAATATTTTCCATTTTTGTTGAACATTTTCAAGCCACAAAAGTGGTGCATTTGTGATTTTACCCTCTTGCGGCTTATTGTTCGACACCACCAAACCACAAACTTGTTTCACCCAGACCATTTATCTAATACTAAAACTGCACCTCGACGGCGCAAATAACAGTCCATAAAACCAGGAAGGCAATAAATAACAAAGTGAGAATATCACACACCCTCTTCAGTAATAAAAAAAACCAAAGTGTGTGTGTGAGGGAGAGTTGAGAGACGGAGACAGGGCATTGATGCTTTACAGAGATTTCCCCGCTGTCCTCTTTGTCTGTCAGGGTAAATGTGATGATTTACCCTTTGAGAATATTCCCTCTCTCTCGGCCATGTCTCTCTCTCCACTTCAAATTCTTCGGCGCATCTATACCAACACTTAAAACCGAAGGGCGCCGTGACTCTCCTTCCTGCCGGCTACTCTTTAAAACGCTACTCGCTGATATTGAGCTAAATGTGAAGCGCCAATACTTCTACGCCGTCTCTCTCGGAGGACAGTCTCAGCAGAAAGTTAAAAAGCTCGCAGAGGAGCCCTAGAAAGCCAGTGAGGCGTGCCGGCCGAGAGAAACAGCACAGCGAAAGTTGGCAAAACGCTGCGTATGAGAGTAGGCGAAGCCGTTACAGCCCGCGTTCGCCCCGCGGCCTCGACGACGGGGGTGAAACCCACGTCAGAGGGAGGGCGCTAACCTCGCTCTTTTATCTCCCGCTGGCAGCGTGTTGGGATCATGAAGTTCGTTCAGATTTATCGATCGGCGGGTCGAGCCCCCCA